ACTAGAAATTTTTACAAATTCGCATATCGTTCACCACGCTACCACATAGTGATAGGTGGCATATGATTACCGCAACGTGGAAAGCTAACCGGAACTGGCGGCCAGTCTGCGGGCGTGCCAACTTGGAACAACATATTCATGCCGATGACAATGTGAAATTGGAAATGACAATGGAACAACCAAACACCGGGATTGTCAGCACGAAACCGCAATACTGCGTAGCCATTATTCGGCACGGCTATAGTATCCTTCAGCGCTGGCTTGAGAAAGCGACGTTCCAACAGGCCACGCTTATCCAACTCCAATGCGTGCTGTAGATTCATGCGTTGTAATTGCATATCGGGCGAACGGCCCATGCCCAATACCACGAACGAGGTGCCATGCAAATGGAATGGATGACTAATATTTATCTGTTGCACTTCGTCGACCAGCACAACTTCTACAACAGCACCAAGCGGTATATCGACTTTGTGTACGCATTCACAATTTTCACCGCAATTGGCGGGACGGTTGTCGCTATTGCAAAACAATTCTGGTGGTATGTCATCGTATTGAGAGAGTATTGTAGATGGCGGTGATACATAGGAGATCTCATCGATAAGCGATATCAAGTGATCGGCATCCGAAGCGACTGTAATGTGAATAATGGCAGGCGATTAGTAAAATGGAAATTAATCGGCTATCGGGGTGTGTATGTGTGTGTGTGTGTGCGAGTGGGAAATTAAGTTGTATGTCGAAACGTGTCTTCGCCGAAGTTGAAAGTAATGGCGTTTTCTTTTTTTTGACACTTTAAGGAAAGAGCGCGCAATATGCATATGACGATGCTGAGAAAAGAACACGAAAACTTAAGCCCTGGCGCAGGGCAGAACTAAAGCAACATTATTTCGAGAAAAGAAAACGCTATAAGATTCATGATTTTGCTATTGAATTTAAATGCTTTGCGATTTTCGAGAGTTTATTAGCCTATTAACGTACTCCAGGCTTTAAGCGGAAATAGTCGGAAGGCATTCCCGTACACACATTTATATTATCTTCAGTACTATCATCCGGACTACGTCGGACTATTTGTGACTGAATCCTGAAGTACGGAACTATAGCCTGTATGTATATTAGTGTGGCAAAAAATAGTAAAGTTGTAATTTTAATGCACTCACCCGCTAGGATTGTTCTGTAACTACCGAAAAAATTACATCCCCTGTTTTTTTTTTATTTTGAAACCATAATATATTTAGAGGTCGCTCAAAGCTTTCATGTATTGCAAAGTTTTTCATGTATTTCATGTGAAGGGAAAATACAAAATTTTTCATAGAAATGGTATTGAATTCTTGAAAATCAATATTTTTCGATCGGAAAACTTTTCTTCAGGAGACTTTCAATAATACCTACTTTGTATAGGTCGTTTAAAACGCCAAAAAAAGCAATGGGGAACCTTTAAAAAATTGCTGGATTTTAAAAATTGTAAAATAAACAATTACTGAAAGTCTCCTGAAGAAAAATAGAGTTTTACGAGTGAAAAATATTGATTATCAAGAATTCTAAACCATTTCCACGTAAAATGGGTTTCTTTCAAGGCACACAGCTACATATGTAGTATGCATTTCAGCAAAACAACATTTACGTGTATTGTGTTGTTGCTTCTGATCTCTAAAGTGTCAAAAAAGTCTTAAGATTTTTTTTTACAACAAAGTGTGCCATGTGAAATACAACAAAATTAAAAAAAAATGGCTGCAACTTTCTTTCTTGTATGCTTCCAGAGACATGGATCCATCCAAAACTTTGAGCGCTTTCGAGGGCCTCCAAATATTTTTAGATTTAAAATAAAAGAACAGGGGTATATTTTTTCGGTACGGTTATTTTCACCCTAGGGGGTGAGAGCTTAAAATTCCGACTTTACTTTTTCACATGCGGTTTTTAGGACCACTCTAATGTACATATATATTTCAGGCACCGCATCGGCACCGTTCAATATGGACTTATAATTAAATTTAATCATTATTTTATTATTTTTATATCGATCATGCCATAGCGTTAATTTCGTACTCAGTTTTTTTTTGAGCATAAGGCATTGAAAGCGGTTTATAACGATTAAAAATAACCGAAAAAGTAAAAATCCAAAAAAAAGATTGGTGTTGATCGAAAAATAAAAGTCAAAGTTTAACGATTATTTTTTAGTTCAAAAATAAAAGTAAGAAAATACCGATTTGCAATGATCTTACTTAAAAATCTTGGTATATAATGGCTATTTTCGGTCCCTGCAATATATTTATTTTTATCTTTCAACTTAGGGGGAGGCAGCTTCGATTTTTTGTTTGGAATGTGTAATTTATTTTTTCTCGTTTTTTGTTTTTGAATTTTGAACAAGGTGAAAGTAGGGGCTACAAATTTTTCTAATTAAAAATCGTACATTGTTGCATGCTAACGTATTTGGAGAGTACTATTGCGTGGTATACAGTTTGAAAAGAAGCTTTAACTTACCGAATGTAACGGCCTTGCGTATTTTTTATTTTTTTCAAGTTAGTAAGCCAAAATTTATTATTTATATGTATTTAAATAAAAAATTAAAAATAATTTAGTAATTAATTACAAGTATGTATCACTACAGAAAAGTCAGTTGCTGTGACTCTAGGTAATACAAATACAAATACAAATATCGTACATTAAATATACATAGTACATACACAGAGAGAAATAAAAATATTTCGCTACAAATAATTATACATAATCTGACTACAAATACATACACAGTAAGAGCGTGTGATTATGCTAAGTGTATAAAAATTATGAACATTGGAAATTTTGAGTAATAAAAATGAAATGAAATAGCAGTACATAGCAGCATTTTTTTTCTACATAAATATAATATAATGCATAAACAAATCAAATTAAGAGTAAGCACATGAAAGAATAACGCTTGCAAGTACATACATATGTACATATATGTTTGCATGTACGCGTATGTATGCATGTAGGTATAGACTTTTGTTGTGGTTCCGGCTAAAATTTTGCTATTTACAATAATAACCAACAAAAGTAGTAGACTGGCACATCTCGACGCTTTAGTGGCTCCTTATGCCATTTACGCAGCTCACGCATAGCTACTTTACTAACTACTCCTCTTCTGCTCCAAAACTTGGCCACTCAAAAGTACTGTATGGGTGGCAAGTGATCGCCGCAACGTGGAAAATTCGGCGGTACTGGTGGCAAATCTTCTTGTGTGCCTATATGAAATATTAAATTCATGCCAATCGCTACATGGAAGAGGAAATGACAATGGAAGAGCCAAAAGCCGGGATTGCTGGCACGAAATCGTAGAATTACATAACCGTTATTTGGCACGGCAATGGTGTCCTTGAGTGTCGGTTTGGTGAAATCACGCTCTAGCATACCCAATCGATCCAAATCCAAAGCATGTTTTAGATTAATCTTCTTTATATTTTGATCCGGTGAACGTCCCAGACCGACAACGTAATAGGGTGAACCATGTAAATGAAATGGATGACTGAGATTAGTTTGCTGTACTTCATCCACAAGCACCACTTCGACGACAGCTCCAAGTGGTATGTCTACTTTATGTACGCACTGACAGTTATTGGCACAATTTGCCGGCCGATTGTCGCCATTGCAGAAGAGTTCCGGTGAGACGTCGTTCATTTGTGAGAGCAGCGGCGCCGGTGGTGAGGCGTAGGTGATTTCATCGATCAGCGATATAAGATGGTCACCGCTGGGAGCAACTGTAATTTACATAGGATGATTTTGGTTTGCTTGGTTTACATATGTATATTTATAAGTGTTTAGTTTTAAGTTAGTAAATGGGGCGATTTTGTTTTTCTTGCGAAAATGAAAATTTAATTTCATTTATTTCGCATTTTTCTTGGAGCGCGTAGCAATCGACGGACATCGTACAGAGAAACTCAGCTGAAAGTTTTTAAATGATTGTATTGAGTTTGCGATAAATAAAAACTATTTATTTACAAATATGTATGTATGTATATTAGGCATATGACTTTTTAAAATTAAATATATATATATGAGGAGTGGGTGAGGCGTGATGAAAAAACCAAAAAAAATTAGCTTTTGATCAAAATTTGGTACAAAAAGTTCTCGCAATTCTGAGAAAAACAACAATTTGTACTGGAAAAAAATAAACATACCCTTGTGTTCAGCCAACTAAGTTAAAGTGACCTGAATACCTAAAAATGCTTAACAAAAAGTTTGCATTTTTTGGTGGAAATTGGTAAAGTTTCTTTATTTCAAATTTTTTGTACACAAAAATATGTACATAAGTATATCGTCACCTTAATTCACCAACACTTTTCTCAAAACTGCGTTTTTTACAGATTTTGGTAGGACCTTCAATAAAAATTTTAAAGTATTAGTACCAAAAAATTTGTTGGTTATGGCCTTTGTGAATTAATTGTGACAAAAACCTCATTTTTGTTGGGGTTTCATCACTCCGCATCCTCCCTCATAAGCATACTTAACTAAAAAAAAATCATATGCCTAATGTATACACTGAAAAAATGAGCCATGCAAAAGTATATTTAAACTCTTAACACGTTGGCAGCTAATTAACTAACTACATGTTTTTACTTTGTAGCATTCAAAGGCTGAGCGAAAAATTCATATATAATTTGGAAAGTAAAACAGTGTCTAGCCAGAAACGAATATTCATAAAATTTTTTCAAGTACAAAATCAATATAAAAGTCAATCGTGCACTATAGAGTATTTTTAAACTTCTACATTTAACTTTTAACTCATTCTAATGGCTTCAATAAAACCGTACTGACTGCAATATGTTTACAATGGATTTACAGAAAAAATATTTCGGTGTTTTTTATCTAAAGGCCGTGCCACACTATTGGTATATTTGTACAGATTTGTACATTTCTTACATTAGGCTATTGGTAAAAAAATAAAAAAATTGGGACGACATTTTTTTTTGTACTCACACGATTGGTACAATCGAGCGAGCTTCTATTGAAAATTTTAAACAAATTGTTTGTCGTGATAGGGATAAAGGAAAATATTCGTGCATTTACGTGATTGGGATATGATTTGCATTGAATTTTGGGCAAATGCCCAACCGTGTGACACTGCCTTAACACATTGAGTGCCGTTTTCTCAAATAGCTCTTAAGTTTATCTGCCCTTTAAACTAGTTTTTTCTGAACAAAATTTGTGTGTGTGGGTAGATAAATTTTTTAATTGAAAAAAAAAAACGGTCCTGAATCTATTAAAATCCAGTCGTTGAAAACCTAAACAAACAATTCGTCTCATCTGATAACGGTAAAATGACAAGAAATGTTGTATCATTAAAAAAAATTTCTTAAGTAAACAGAGTGACCATTATTTCTAACACTGAAATATGTGGTTTTAATTTCCAAATGTTTCCTTAAAATATTTGTAATACAATGCCCAATGGAAAGAGCGCATATAAAGTTAAAGAATTATACAATTAGGACCATATGTATGCACATAATTTTACTGGCTGGCATTTTCCTATGCAAGAAACTAGCAAATTAGGGGAAAGTGGTAACTTTTCTATTATTTTTGTATACCACTTAACAAAGCGCTAATACGAATATATTCTTTTTTTGTAGAATACCAACTTGACTAGTTAAAATAATAAATATACAAATCTTAATTGCTTGGAATACAATACAAGAAAGTATATAGAGTTGGATGCAGTGAAATAAAATCTTTTTAACAAACAACTTTATGTATACACAAATGTATTACTCTTGATGATAATCACAAAATATGTAGGATGTACATACGTAATTTCCATTCATGCGAAAAGCTATTTAAATGCATTCATGCTGAATTTACTAAAATTTACTAAAGAAAAAATGCTACCTTTTTACAAAATTTTAAGGACTAGGGAGAAAGGACTTCCACAACTTACCTAAATAGCGGTTGTAAGTATTGGCAATAAATAGATTCTTCACATCGTAAACAAAGAACCGGAATGGTAAGAATATTTTTACATCAGGACGTTCGACCAACACGCCTTTGTCCACAGTTTTGGCATTTTTCAAATTCGAGACACAAACTGCATCGTTGCGTTTACGGTTGCAGATAGCATCCAAGGGGTTCATGACCTGTGGAAAGATGAAAGGGGAGGAAGGGAGAAAGGAAGAAAGAGAAAGAGCGAGAGAGAGAGAGAGAAATAAACGTTTAGCAATGAATCATTTAAAATTCACTTTTCATTTTCGATTTGATATTTGTATATTTAATTCTTTTGCAACAGCTTAGTTGTATTGAATTACCTTGAGCTTTCACTTATATACACGTTAAAGCAGTGTTTACACGTGAAAGCCATTTTTTACGCTAATTTAGCAAATTTCAAGTTTTTGCAAAACAGTTATGCTCAGAGAGAGCTTTTACTCTATGCGCGCCCAATCTACAGATAGCTTTAAAGCAGTGATGCGCAGAGAGAGCTTTTACTCTAAACGCGCCTATACAAAATGTATGGAAAGCCTAAAAGAGCTTTGCGCGCGGGCAAGGCGGTGCTCATTAGTGCTTTAAAGAGTTCCGCCCGCGGGCGTTGTTTTCAGCATGACTCTTTTACATGCATGATAACTAAATTTGAGGGGCTTTTGCGCAAGTAACAAAAATACTTATGAATCTATTTCAGCGATGGGCAGAAAGAGCTTTTACTCTGCACGAGGCCTATACAAAATGTTTAGAAAGCTTAAAAGTGCTTTGCCCGCGGGCAAGGCAGTGTCCAAGACCGATATATTTACTTCAGTGACGATCATAGAGAGCTTTCAACCACGGCATGGGCGTATAAAATCTACGGAAAGCTTTGAAAAGGTTCTCCCACGGGATAATAAGTTTATATTATCATGCACAAGTTGAAAGCTCTCTCTGGTCGTCGCTGATTTACATACTTCAGTGACGATCAGAGGGAGCTTTTATCCCGTAAGCATCTAGTTCGGTGATGGGCACTGCCTTGCCCGCGGGCAAAGCTCTTTTAAGCTTTCTATATATTTTGTATAGGCGCGTGAAGAGTAAAAGCTCTCTTTGCCCATCGCTGATCTAGTTATATAAAATTTGTAGAAAAATTTTACCACTTTTGCCAGTGGGCTATGTTTTGGTCGTCATTGATTTACTTACCTTCGCTCAAAAGTGGAGAGTTTTATAGTTGGAAACTTGGCGTACTTTAAGGATCATATTTACATAGGGCGTAGCGTAAACAACATTTATGTATTTATTGTAAGGTAATAACATGTAATATTTATAAATATCATGAACGTTTTAAAAAAAAAGATACCGTTAAGTGCATGTATAAGCTGTGCATAACGAAGATGTAAATCTTTTAACTAAACAAATTTTATATTTATTTATTAATTTAATTATTTTACAAATATATATGTATTTATTACAATTTTATTCGTTTTTTACAAAGTTTTTCTTTTTTATTTTAAGCAAATATTTATATAGAATAACATGGTGCTTTGTTGCTGTGTTATAGCTGTATACACGTTTCTGAGTATAAGTATTTTTTTGTCTGTTTATTGGTGTTTTTTTTTTTGGCGATGGTACCGGATTTGGGGATACGTTTAGCTCAGCATCTCACCAGGTACATACAGTCAATGTAAATATTTTACAAAACATGTCTATAACTATTTGGTTTTTTTTCTGTAGGTGTATGTGTGTATGTTTGTGCACCTAAATGTACATATTAGGGTGGAACGGAAAACAAAAATTTTGCGTTTGGAAGTTTTAATAGCGGGGAATCGTTGCCTTCGGACGTCAATAGAATACGCCTAAACATGTTTTGAAAACGGCTTATACTTTCTGACTCCCCTTTTTGATTGAAATTTTAAGATTTTTGTGAATTCTAAGCAAATAACGTAATTTATTAAAAACATTTGTCGAAAAATTTTAGGTAACCAGTTCTATAGGTCAATAAATATAAGATAATAAAAAGCAAGTTTGAAGTGGCTGCAAAATACCGCTCGTTTTTGGGATTATTTGGATTTATGGTTCCATACAAAGCAGAAAATGAGCAACACTTTCAACAAAAAAAAAAATTTTTAAATCTAATTTAAGTCTTAGCTGCTTCAAATTTGTACTTTATTGTTCTAACATTTAATGGCCCGCAAAACTGCACACCTAGAGGTTTTCTAAAAATGATTTTAATAACTTAAGTTATTTGCTTACATTCGTAAAAATCTCAAATTTTAATCAAAGAAGGGAGGCAGAAAATATTAAACAAATTAAAATTTGTTTAGCGATAGTTATTGACGTTCAAGGGCAATAAGTCCCTGCTATAGGAATATCGAAACGTACAATTTTTTTCGTTCCACCCTAATGCACATGCTTACATAAGTATGTATACCTTTATAAAAACGTTTAAGTGCATACATACTTTTAATACTATTTTCATATATGTGATTGCTACATATTATTGCATATTTATGGGCGCTGGGCAGTGTTATTGGGATATCTAAGATATACAGAAACCGAACTTCAAAGAAAACGAGCAGGGAAGTTTTTCTGTACAGTTTAAACTCTAGCTCGCCATCGGTCTCGTCGTTTTAACCTTTCGTGCTCCACATACACATGGACACAAAAGGAATTGAAGACTTATCCATAAATACAAAAAAAAAACTTTTTACACTCAGCTTGAATTTTTTACATTTAAATGAAACTATGCACTACATTTAATTAAAAAAAAAAAAAATTAAATAATTGATAACAAATTAAAGGCAAGATGCATCGAAGGAATATAGTGAGTAAGGATATTGCAAAATTTCGTTGGAAGTAGGGCATTAGAAAAAAAAATTAATAAAAAAACGAAGCAACTTAATTATTTTACAGTCATCTATAAGCTTAAAAATATATAAACTAAATCAAACAAAATTGGAAAATAATTACAAAAAGAAGCAGCATAAGCTAAGTAGGAGTGGTTAAAAATTAAAAAAAAAAAGAAATAAAAAAATACAAAAACATAAAATTAAAATATTTATCATTTAGTTATTTTATTCATGACTGCTGCGCACAAATCGACGCGCAAATCTCGTTCTTTTTCCGCTTTCACATCCAATCACCGTGTTTACACAAGGTCACGTTCACTTCACTTCTACCGCTCACGTTCGCATTTCCCCTGTGTACATCATTCCTCTCCTAAAGTGTATATGTATGTATGTGTGCGTGTCACGCAAGTCTTATGTTGGCAGAGCTTGTGCATTGGTAAAGCTCATAAAAGCACGAAGTTGTTTTTTTTTGTAATTGTCGCTATTGTTGTGGTAGATAAAATGTTTGTTACTCGTGAGCTTTTACATGATTTGTTGATGCTATATTGATGATGATTAGAGCTTTCAAAGGCTTTAATTTGGTGTTTTTGAAAGCTCATTCTTAAAAGACTGTTTCCTCGTTTTAAGCACTATTTTTTTAACGATGATGTTTTGATAAAATTAACTTTCCATGTTCGGTCTATTTGTTTTTCATCATTCCTTTTAAGGCTGTGCTTTTTGCACTTCACTTGTCGAGGTGCTTCTTTTTTTTTTTACAGAACACATTTTATCATCTTTTGTGGCTTGTTTATATTAAGAAATTTTTTTACTATATATTTTTCACTTTCTATATACTAGAAGAAGTCTAGAAAGAATTTGGCACCTTTTAGGTTGTATTATAGTTAATTAATCGGTATGGGCGCCTTGTGATCACCGCACGTTGGGAAACCTGGTGGCACTGGTGGTAAGTCGGCATTTGTGCCAACTTGCAATATCAGATTCATACCGATCGTTATGTGGAAGAGGAAGTGACAATGGAAGAACCAGAAACCTGTGGAAAAATTAAATCATAAGCACGAACACATAAAAGCTTCGAAATATTAAGAAGCTCACATAACTCCAGAAAAAGAAAAGAAATTCCTAAAAGCTCTTCGAAAATGTTGCTTAATAAACTCAGCATGCTACTTACCGGGATTATCCGCTTTGAAACGTAACACCACGTAACCATTATTTGGCACTGGCAGTGTATCCTTTTGTGGTGGCAAATCATATTGACGGTGCAACAGACCGCGTCGATCCAAGTCCAAGGCGTGCTTCAAGTTAATTTTCTTGACGCTGGTGTCGGGTGAGCGACCTATACCGATAACGCTGTAGCTGTAGCCGTGCAAATGGAAGGGATGTGACAAGTTAGGCTGTTGAACTGCGAGGGGGAGAGAAGATGGCATAAGTTAGTCTTATAGGGTTCGACAAATAACTGTAATTACTAAACAAGCAGAATATGTAGGTACATATTCATACCCAAGATAGGCAGAGCCCAAAATGGTACACACAGGGAGTTTTTCTTGAGGTGCTTGAGAAACGCGTTAATCTGCAGATAAGGAGGGGGATTTCTAAAGCTCGTTTGCCATCAAATCAGCATACCTACTGTAAGAGCGGATCATTGAGTAATCCATGAAATTCGTGGAATCTATCCATGGTGGATGGAATGGGGTTTAGTTTCAGGGACCATTGTCCTGTAAACTATTTCACGGATTGATTGCTGCTGGATGGAAAGGTAGGTGGAGGTGTCTTCTGCAGTGTTTTTCAAGCAGAAATAGCCGCAATAAAGGATGCATCGAGCTATATGCTCACAAGTATAATACTTACTTGGTGGCCAGGCGATAATCAGGGTACCAAAATCTTTTGATGATAGCTTCAAGAACGGTAGGAGAATGCCTGAATTCTCTCTCGATGGCAACATTGTACTTCGCTATCAAGATTATTTGGTCTCAAGAACCACCGATTAATGTAATGGCCGTCGCTGTGGCTGAGTGGTTAGATGTGCATACTACTACCCCGTGGGACCTAGGTTCGATCCCTAATCGGGGCAAAATCTAAATTAGAAAAGAAGCTGTAGGCCCCTTTTGTGTTATAACATCAGGTCACACGCCACAAATTGGGGATGTAGCTAGGCCAAACACTTAGCAAAACTGTTAGCGCCAAAACATTACTATTATTATGTATAGAGGAATGCAGAGGTCTTCATTGCCTGCATTTGGTTAGCTTCTGATGACAGATGCCCTTTTAGTCAGCCTAACAAATGCTGGGCGAAAACTTGGGATGCAAATTGGCTAGGTCCACATGGCCACTGGTTAATCGACAGCTGAAACAGTGTTCTTAAAACTAACACGTCTCTCGTGACTGGCCGGGGAGATTGCACCTGATATTGTACGACTAAAATTCATGCGGCGAGGTCCGAGGGTGGTATGGAAGCATTGTCCGGAGGATGTATCAGACTAAGCCGAGCATACTTTGTAGAGCCATCAAGTTATAACTTAGGAAAGTTTTATTACATGGCAGTTGAGAAGTGCATATGCAACAATTTCACAAATTTAATGAAGGAAATTCTTGCACATGTAGCAGTACATAGTATGCATTTAGGCACCCGGTGTTAGCAGTCACGCCTAAACACCGGTAGGACAGCCATTCGGCAAAAATATTTGTTCGGGAAGATTTTTGTTTAAGGCGATGAACGCCTAGAAATGGGCGTGGCTCTTTTAGGACCCGCAACTTTTATTTTTAAATCGAAGAATCTTATAGAAATGGGCATGTCAATTTTAGGACCAAAATTTAAAAATTTAAATTTCATTGTGGATTTCGGCAGACTGTCTTCACACTAACGACATTTGTTCCCCTTTTTTAGGTAAGAGAAGAAAGTCTTATTTCAAAGTTATTGCAAAGGCGTATTCAAAATATTTTTTTTTTTTTTTAATTCTAAAGAAGGGGTTCGAATTTTATGAAATGTGCAAAAACAGGAATAACATTTTCTGAGCTTAAGTAATGTTAAATACACATTAAACAATAAAAAAAAACTAAAAAAAATTAAATCTTGCTATCGCACACTACGCAACTCTTAACACCATATGCATCGACATCCACTTGTAATTCGCTTTTACTATCCTACGACTAGCCTAAAAAAGTAATTTAGTAATCTTAATACGAATTATTACGATATTACTTAAGATTTTCCTGCTAAACCACACCTTAGGTTCAGAGCGAAGCTGAACTAGTTCATGTTTTCTGCAGCTGCCTTTTGAATGAACTGAACAACAAAAAAAACAAAAAAAAAAAATGTCTATGCCACAAACATAAAATTAGTGAGAGCGCAATGTGCAGCGGTGAATTAGTATCGGAAATGCCCAAAGGCGTTGAAGTTATTTTTTCCGTTTGCTTGTGTTTAGTTAATCAAACATTTAGTTTTATAATTTTCTCACAATCTACATACAAACAATCTACAATTCACCATTTCGATTTGCTGATTTTATAATTTTACCATAAACGTTAATTTGCGCTGAATATATATATGTACATAAAATCTTGGCTCGTGGGTGCCGCTGTTGGTAAACTATAAATTACATACAGGCATACAAATGTATATATATATATATACATAAATACAGTGGCGGTCAAAAATGGATGAATGGTGTTTAGTTTTTAATATTTACAATATTTTTCAAGCTAACGTTTTTTTGATATTTTTTTTTTTATAAAAATATGGTTCATGCTTTAATAAAAACTATATAACATAAATTTTCATTTAAATTTCGAGCTTTTTAATCTGAATTAAAAAAAAATTTAGTTATGTAGTTAACAAGCCTTTAAAATTCTAGTGAAATAAGGGCAAGTTTTGAGCGGCTGAAAAATCGCATTGATTTTTAATAATTTTTTTTCGCTGACGGGTTTTACGGTTTTTTTCATATAAATATCAAATAAAAATCAATGCGATTTTTTAGTCGCTCAAAACTTGCACTTATTTTAATAGAATTTTATAAGCTTGTTAACTGCATACCCAAAAAATTTCTAAAAATTCTGCTTAAAAAGCTTGAAATTTAGATATATATTTGTGAAATTTTTCTAAGTTCTGTACAAAGTTTCAAAGTGCCATTTATACAGGTTTTGTTAAAGTTTCAAAGTGCGATTTATACAGGTTTTGTTAAAGCATGAACCAAAAAAAATAAAAAATATATATATATAAAAAAATATCAAAAAAATTTTTGCTTGAAAAATATTGTAAACATTAAAAACGAAACACCATTCAACCATTTTTGACCGCCACTGTACATATTTTGCAACATTTCTGTAATCTATGCGGCAATACAGCGATTGTTTGCATCCGGTTGGGAGGCACCTGGCATTGCACTGAGGTACTTAGATTTTACTTATTCACTTATCAATACAATCGAACTTTAACAAAATGCTTGTGTCTATACAAAAAGGAATGTATGCAAAAAAAAACCAACTAATCGTAGTAATGATGTTAAGCATTAAAAGACATTCAAAATTTGTAAATATACTTATCTCACTCACCTTCATCAACTAGCACAATTTCCACAATTGCATTCAGCGGTATATCGATTTTGTGGGTACACATGCAATTTGGACCACAATTAGCGGGACGATTATCACCGTTACAGAATTGTTCGGGATTGATTTCATGGAATTGCGAGGTAAGTGGCGCCGGTGGAGACAAGTACGAGATCTCGTCGACCAGAGAGATGACATGATCACCAGTGGGCGCAACTGCAACAGCAAATTGGAGGTTTTTATTTCTGTATTTATATATATACATACATATGTATGTGAAAAAAAACTTACCCAAATAACGATTGTAGGTGTTTGGCTGGAACAGCTCTTCCGGACGGTAAACGTAGAAGCGGAAGGGCAAGAAGATCTTCACATCGGGCGTTTGTGTTAAAATGTCGCGATGTACATCCAGCGCACTCTTCAGCTGACTCACGCAGATAGCATCGTTTCTCGGTGTATTACATTGGGCGTCCAGAGGGTTCATGACCTTTGTTTTATTTGATTGTTGACAATTTTTTTTTGTTGTTTTCATATTTTTTATGGCAATTTACCGCATTTAATTTTAGTTTAGTTTTATGATTTCATTTGGCGTAAGCATTGAGGTGTTGTGCATTTATATACATTTGTGCCATTTATATTAAAAAAAAAACGTTGGTGGTATTTGGTATTCGGTTTTTGGTTTTTATATACAACATTTCAAATCAAATCGTTAAATTTTTAAATTTTGCAGAGTTTTTTCCGAAAGATTTTTAACATTTTTGATGATTTCAGATGTGAAGACATATTGGAGTTTTGCAGTGTTGGTTGGGGTTGTTGGTTGATTGGTTGGTTGAATGGTTCATTGTAAAGAAAAAAAAAAATTTGTAAGAAAAAATATAATTAGCATAATACTTGTAACTATACAGCTAGAAGAATAAAATGTCTTTATATTTTTTGTAATAAAAACATTACTTATTTACATTTATGTACAATACTTATAATTAAGAATGGGTAATTATTACTTAAGTTTTGTTAAATAGCTTTGAAAACCGGAAATGACGAAAAAGGAAATTTAAAACCGAGTTTTTATATTTTGACCCGACTTCAAAAAAGGGGGAGGTACTCCTAAATTTTTATATGAGAACTTAAGTCGGTTGGGCTTTTTGTTTAAAAATGACTTATAAAATATGGCGTATTCCGTCGTAAGAGCAAAAGTCATAAAAAAATTATAGTTTTAGCTAAGGCAAATCCAGTACCGTCAGCGCTGACATAGCTCTTCAAGCAATTAGCCAAGCCTTCTCGATTAACACGCTAATTGAGTTCGATTTACCATACAAAATTTCAATTATTAATTGCTCGATTAGTACTTAATTGAGTGCTAATTGAATGCATTTCTTCATGCAACCCTGCTGGGTATTTTTAATTTAGACTTTGAAGTATGTTTATTGAACAAATAGCAATCAGCTGTTCGTTTCTGGTTCTCTTTTACAGCTGATACTCCATTAGGGATAGATAATTGAATTTTGAAATTGTACCCAATCTGCGGAAAAACTTTACCTAGAAGTAAATAAATGTACCTAGAAAGAAATATGTATTTTCGTCTGTATATATTAAACGAAACTGAGGATAACCTTTCCCTTCCATATCATTTAAAATTTGGCTATGAAAAGAAAGTTTCGAGACAAAACTATGTTTTAGAAAAGGTGCATCATTCTCTTCCGAGTTCTTCGATCTGACATTTTAAAAAGAAATATTCTGTCTATCTGGCATAATCTACTACAGTTACGTTGCTTTGCCGCCTTTTTATTATCATTTGTATGCGCCTTTACAAAGGAGAGAAGCTATTGGACAAGTTATCCTCACCAGAAAATGCATTGAAATGTGAATAAAAATAAGAGCTGATTTCCTGAAAAGTTATTTAACTACTTTCATAATGTAGCCAAAATGGTATGTTTGTACCGAAAATATTTTACAACTAAATAAAGGTACGGTTGCATATTTTTTATGAAAAAATAGAAAAACTTTTGAAAAATATGCAAAATCGTAGTTCTGTGTACAAGTACTCCTTTCCGATACTGAGTAGGTATCGATACCAAAACATTTTCTACAAAAATAAAAGACAAACATTAGAAGGGAAATGTTAGATCTATCTGTCTACCTGTCTGTCGGAAATTATGCCGATGTGAATTCAAGAGATTTTTTAATGCAGTTTTTATGGAAATTTCATGAATTTTACTATTTAAAACCGATTTTAATTTGTAAAGTTTCCAGCAAGTTTTTTTAAAAAATTTTAATAGCTTTTATTTTAAAATGTATTTACTTTTTTATAATCTAACTGGAATAACAGATTTCTTTACTTAAGTACTTTTCACACATTTTTTTGTCGCACTTATTTAGTACAATTCCAGTACAAACTATAATAAAAATGGCGTAAAAAAATCGTTGAGGTAGGCAATATCACCAAGCTATTTGTCGATAAAAAAGGTCTCAAAACTATTGTGCTACGCCTTTACACAAAAGGAAGGCTCGAATTTTTTGTGCTATTTTACAAAACTTATATTAATATATTAATAAGTAATATAAATATACATATACAAATTTACATAGTACATATATGCAAATATAGCATTTCCAGCAAATAAGAGTACATTGCGTTTTGCCATAAACCAAGATACTGATTTTATTATATTGTTTTTTTTTTTGTTCTAATTATTTAAAGTGCCATAAGCCATAGCAAATGCCACAATTTTCACAACTGCTAATTTCTGTACAATATTTTTTTTATTTAATTTTTTTTTCATTTTTGTACAAATTTTTTATAATATTTGTTTAACTAAATGTAATTGAAATTATTTATTTCTTGCAACTCACGTTTTCCCAGTGTGATTGCAGTCACAAATTGGTGTGTGATCTTGTGCATTACGAGTGACTGGCGGTAGAGGGGGTGGAGTGGGGGGGAGGTGGTGCCGTACCTCAGCCACACAGTCACCAAGCGTTGGTGGAAAATTGGAATGTTTTCAACTTACCAGGTGAACAGGCGATATGTATGCGCGTAACCAATGGCTCTGCAGGCGCCATTTCTTGGTTCTTATGTAACATTTTGCCATATTTTTTATTTGCTTTACAATTATCGCGCTATTGTTTAGATGCACTTTTATGTTGTTGTTTTTTTTTGCTACGTTTTTATTCTTGCGCATGCGCTTTATGCGCTTGCCATTTTAGTTCCTTTTTGCAGCGATTTATACATATGTACATTTGTATGTATGTATGTATGTATGTAAAAACAAATTCAAATAGCGACAGCAATTGTTCTTTGAAATTTTTAGCTAATACCTTTGTTTTCTTTTTATGTGCCACCATATTTACAAATTGATTGGCATAAATCAATTACATGGAAATCTATAGATATTGTACTATTCAGTTGCTATATTTCAGTTTTGCATTCGAGTTTTATTGGATGTTGATTGGAGTTTGTATTTTGAACCTTTGGTGATTCATCGCCTAACTATTGGCATTGAACTAATAACTTTAATTAAGTAATTTTGGATGCAGCTTAGCGAACTTTCGAGGTCGGAATATTAGAAAAATATTTTCGTGTAAAAAAAAAAAATCCTTAAAGTGAACAGTTTTTGAAAGTTGATTGCATTTTACCGTTGCTCCTTATTTTTGGAGTAGGAAAGAAGTTTGCCACCGTTAAAATAGGATTCATATTTTCCAATCAAATTGAACCGTTATTTTATGATTTTTGTATTTTCCATAAATTGTGATTGATATTTTGTGGGAGCTATTTCTGATTAAATTGCAAATATCTCGAAAACGCATCCATAGAAAAAAAAAAAATAATCTCGATTTTCGGAATTACCGAGCAATTCTACATAGGAATTGTATAGTGACGTCTGGAGAAAAAAAAAACCAAACTAAAATGATTTTTTTCTGTCAGTTTCCATATTAAACTCAAATAAAAAAAATGTTTTCACTTAAATTGCTTTCTTGAAAATGGCTATTCGAGTTTTGTTAATCGCTCAGAATATAAAATCATATACATATCAAGCTTATTTTTTTTAATCATAAATAAAAGTGTTTAACTGTCGAATGTCATCTTTCTGAAATAATGATTTATTTTCGAATTTTTATTTTTAGATAAAAAATAATCATTATAGAAATCGAAATTTTAACTAATTTCTAAAGCGTTGTTATATCCCTAACAAATAACAATTAACTTTGGATTTAATTTTTTTTTTTGGGCAGATCAAAATACGAATAGGTGTTCAGTGATAAATAGGTTTTGCTTGGGTACCGCTTTATTTTATTTTATATACGAAATAAAGGCATCCACTACGATTTAAAAATTAAAAAAAAAAACTTCTATGGTTCGCTAGCAGGGTTTGTGAAAGTTGATTTTTTTAAGTCATAAAAATTCGACAAAATTATCTCTTTGACCAACTTTAATTCCGCGAGTTTATGAATTTGTATGAATAAGCTTGAATAACATGCAAAACTTATCAGTTTTCAAGTTAATATATAGCCAAATTTTTGCGATTAAAATATAAAATCAAAATTTTTAAACCCCTAAATTTTTTTTTTTAAATTTTGAAATTTACGTGGATGTCTTAATTTTTTGTTCATACAAAATTTAGACGTTGACATTTTAAGGACAACCTTAACAAATAAGTATTAATAAAATATGCGGCTGATAAATTGTAGTAATTTTTAAGCGGTGTGATGTTTTAAGATTTAAGAACTGCCAAAAAAATAAAACTCAAAAATTAATAGGCAATAGGTAAAACAACGTTCAAAAATCCGTTTTATTTTCAATAAAAAAAAAATTAAAAATAAAATTTAATTATTTTTTCCAAATAAAAATAAACTAAAAAGCAAAGATTTTTTGTGTTAAAAAAATTTAGCTCATAAAATAATGAATATTTCAGAGAAAAGCAACACTCGAAAAATTTGTTTTTATTTCTGAATTACACCATAAAGCTCAGAAATTTATTATTACTCTTGATAGCAAATTTTTAAAATAAACAAATGATTAAATAAAGTTTTTTTTTTTTAATGAAACTCATAATGACTGCGGTTCTTGATTAAAAGTAATCGTTATTTTGGGTTGTAACTATTTCGATCATACTACCTATAACCGTTATTTTAAGATTTTATTTTTCACTTCAAGAAGAATTCCCAAGAAGCAGTTTCCTTTATAATGGTTAAAAATTATGGAAAAAAATTTCCAGTAAAATGATTAGCCTTGTTCGAAAACATGCAAGATCTAACGTTTTTGTAATGATCTAGAATGGAAGATCTTCCAAATAAAAATTTTGATACTGCATACAAAATTCGGGATAATGGTAATTTTAAGTTCCTGAAATCCAACAATATTTTTGCTTGACAAACTACACTCCAAAGCGAAGGAAATAATATATAAAATGCTTAAAAAACTCGCGCTGTTTGCCTAGAAAGATGCCAACGATGGTCGGCCAGAGCGATCTTAAGTTAATAATTAAAACAGAATTATATTAAAGTATGATCTAATTAGTGCAATACGGATGTTATTTATAACATTTTGCTATTTTTTTACATGCACGTTTTTTCGTATGTAAAGCTACATTCATTGATTTGATCGCGTACAGCGTCGAGCAGGCTGACGTCCAGACCAAGTTTCGTATGCAATCAGCCTCGATGACGATCAAATTGTAAAATCATGGCACTATCTTAGCTACAAACAATCACTTAGCGCACAAAAGTTCACGCATACACACACACACACACAAAAATTGCTTTGAGTCACGCTGTTTTTCAAAAGCGCACACAGTACATTAAAGTATTTATATATCGCCGCAATGGGAACAAAAATATGCAAATAGTAAATTGTTTAAGGCTATGCCCTGAATGGCAACTACATTCGTGAGTTATTCGATGTTACAGTTTTTTTTTATATGATTTCGTATTTCTTTTATATTCTTTTTGTGTGTTTTTTTTTTTTTTTGGTAATAAAGTAATAATACAAAAGCCATTTACTTACCACACCCTGTGGTATGCCGACATCGTAGGTTGGTGGAGCCGATGCTGGTTGATAGGGGCCGCGCGCATAACGCAAAATACCCAACTGTTGAGCGCGACGAATGCCACATTCACCCAAACCGCGCACCTGTATCCAGTAAGCGCCGACAGGTTGATTGGCATTGATAATGAAGTCATAGCGTTCACCTGCAAGGCGGGGGGGAGCAAATAGAGATAGGTAGAGGTGGTTAGTTAGATTTGAAAGCAAATGTACATACATACATATATAACTGGAGCATATTTCTTTAAAAATAATATTTAACGAACTAGGAAACATAAAATAGTTTGAGTGCAAAAGTAATTAGCTAAAATAATTTAAATTTCATTAAATTGGTATTTTTGAAATGCAATTAGTCGGTTTTGCGCTATTGAGCGCCTAGTTGGTTGATGTCGTTCTATTATTTATGGTATGTTGAAGTAATTTAACCCTGACTTTTTAAATTAGAAATAATTGCGCAGTATCAATAGTTACAAATTAGCGGTAGCTCGCATATTTTAAATTTTTTGTTTAAATAATTACACCCGCTCAGTAGTGAGTTAGTAGTTAATTACTAAGCCTGTTATTGTCAACTGGCGTTTCTGGTAATATAGTAAGTCAATAAAAATGACGAATAGAGCCAAGTTGCTGAGCGATTACACTGCAAAGTAAATAACTAATGTGAAGATAATATTTATTATAGCATGAAGTCGCATTAGAAGCGCAAATATGTAGTAAAAGCTTGCTTTGATCGTCACTGGTTTAGAAGACAAAAGATGAGACTGAACTAGAGCGATGACCTGGGTTATGCTGGCTGTAAGGGCATCGATTGATTGAAACCCCACACGAATAAGTTCAGCGGGGTCAAATCGCACTATCTTGGTGGCCAATTCACGGCACTTCAAGCGGTGAATAAAAAAAATTATATTTTATTACATTTAGATTAGACGGACGCCATGAGCGCGCCAAAATCTATCCGTGTTAATTGAATATACATATCCATGCGGATTGCTCGAAACTTGACGGAAGTGTCAGCGGAGAGATCTTTTACAGGGAACACGCTATCAACCTTTAATTTAGGATTCCAGATGGCTGTAGCTGCTTAATTGCGCAACGTCGGAAAGGAAGGTAAACATCAAATCTGATAGCCAAGAGGAAATCAGGATTTTGGGACTGCTCATTGTGCGCTCCTAGCTTTTGAGGCGAATGTTTGCACTTTCCTTTTAAATATTTTTTACTCAGACTTATCTGGGTACGAGGCCATAAGCAGTAGCCATACAGTAAACCCTCGACTTGATCTCACCGTGAAAAGAAAGAGTGAGAGTACCTTTGTCTATTTGAGGACTAATTTTGGACAGATGAGTATGGAGCGCTCTGACACAGACACCTGCCGCCTGCGCAGCTTTGTTCTTGTTACATATCGTTTCTTGTTATAATGTTCGTTGGGTGTCACAAAGGATTGATGCTTATGATCCAAGTGGGCTCGTTTTCATTATCATCATCTGCATTGTTTTATAATAATACGGAGGTTTTTCTAGAGAAATACCCGTGGTTTTATATACCTTCTTCGCTGCTCAAACTCTTAATGCAAGACATAATAAGTTTATTTATTATTAATATTGTTTAATTTTAATATATGTAACTTCGCCTCAGAGTATTAAAAAAATAAATAAATAATAACATTAAAAAAAATTTTTTTGAAAAAAAATGTATGGAAATAATTAAATATTTAAATGTCATTCCAAAAAAAAAACATCTTAATTGCCGGTTTCACAAAAAATTTAAGTAAAAAATAATTTTTTCCCTTCTGCTAGTTTTCATATTAAATAAAAAAAAACAATTTCCACATAAATTGCTTTCATGAAGATGGCTATAAACAACACTTTATTCTTTTAGAATATATCAATTTTCTTCCGCTAGAGAAGTCTTTTAACCCACTGTGCAATGTCTTAGTCTATCGCTAGCTGCCAAAGAAGACGTTAATGACAGATTCTATGATTCTTAAAAAAATGCCTATGTCCCCGCTGTTTAATCGAAAACGCCTTCAATAAAGAATTATGCTGAGCTAAAATGTCAGAAATGCACTTGTATAAATATTTTTTCAAAGGCCGAGCTTTTTATTAATTAATTTTTTATGATTTAAAATGATAAATAAGAACTACAAGTTTGACAATTTTCCGAACTTGGAATTATTATGAAGTTATAGCCATCGTACAGTTCCATAAGTAACGTAACTCTTCTTCATACCATTTTTTCTGGAAGGTTGTAGGTGTGTTTTTGGTTCAGTCTGTTAGTGTATTTTGAATAAATTGTAATAGAAACTAAAGAAAATGTAGAAGATAAGAACAACTGTTAAAAAACAAGTGATCTCAGCTGTAAGCATTTTTTGGCAATCATCTGATAGTGTTTTTACTTAGGAAACTGTGCGATGGTTACAGCTATTTACTTTTTCGAATTAGTTTGAATTTTATTTATTTTCTTGCAAATGATAAAACCAATCCCGCTCATTTTTTAAGCATTTTACTATGACAGTTTTTATTTGTTATTTTAGCAAAAAAAAAAGTAAAAGTTAACAAATTTTCTGAAATATTGTTGACTTCTGAATTGCTTTATGGGGTTTTGGCCTATATTGTTGTACGTATATTTTACATTATATTGCCAAAAAAAAACTCAGAAACTTGCAACTAGATGAAAGTTATCTGCGTTTTTCTCTTGAAGCATAACTTATTTTGTATGGTTAATACTTTTTTAAAAGCTTTTTTTTTTGTTTTATGAAGAAATTAACTAAAAGAGTACAGTGACTCAAAAAAGTGTTCACATGTTGATTTTTTTTTTAATATTCAATGAATGAAATGAAATTTTTTTCCTTCTCATATTACTAAAGGCTCTCTCGGCCCCAAATAAAAAAAAAAATCTGGGGAACGTTTTGCTAAAGAACAAAACGAGAACAAATGATTTGAGAACCTAACGTTAGGAATGAGAGGGGTGTCTTCGTGTTGGGTTGAAAAGTCGTTTCAACGATAACCATGATTTTTATTTCTAAGATTTCCCTATTTTGTTCTCTGTCAGAAAGTTCCTGAGATTTTAGTTCCAAAATTGTTCTTCGACAGAAAGCTCCTTAGACTTTTTTCCCATTTCGGTTTTTTGCCAGCTGTTCTAGACACTCTTGTCCCATTTTGTTCTCTCAGGAATTTTCCCGAAAGTATTGCTCGCAGTTTGCTCCCTTTGGGAATGTTCCACAGGGTATTGTTCTTATATATGTATATCTCTTTGAGAACGTTCTCGACAGGTTTGTTCTAAGCTTTGTCCTTGTTGAAACACTCCCGAAGGTTTTGTTCTCATTTCGGTTTGGGTTTTTAAGCGCTCTTGGGAAAAAAACTACGAGAGTGACATTCACTTTCCATCATAACTTTTGTTATTGGTCCTGGCTTTTTAATCTGAATATTTATAAAAATTTTTGGTATGAAGTGGTTGGAAAATCGCGTTGAGTTTTATTAATTAATTTAGCTGACGGTATTTTAAACATTTATCAAAAAAAAAAAATTTAATTTAGTTATTATTATAGTTAATTTTAAGCAGTTCTATTAAACATTACCAATAAGATACGCAAATTTAGCTGCGTGAAGTACGTACGTATGTATGTCTTTACCGTCAATTAGTTTTTGAATTTTTTTAAGCTTTCCACATCAACTTAACCACTTCAAATTCAACATGAGCACAATAGATAAACGGCAATATTAATAAACAATTAATAAAAGAACATACCTATATATATGAAGAATGTAAATTAAATAAACAAACTTGATCATCTGACCTTATATACGCTGCTTAAGAAGTAATGCTATTCCACTTCATTTGTATGTATGATACATTTGTGCTTAAACTAATGCTACGTGCAATAAACAGTTATTATTTATTAACAACTCAATTACAGTATGTGGTGATTAAAAAGTTTATTAGTGAGTGTAATAAGTGTTCTTAATTAATTATTGGGTTAATGAAATCGTAAAAGTATTAAACTACTTAATATGATTCATGAAATTTATAAAACGAATAAGTAGATGTGTGTATAAATTCATAGCGATATAGATACATTATAAGCCCTTTAAGATATTTCTTGGAATTTCATAAGGTATCAATGAATATCCTTATTCTCGGTCGTTTGTTACATATTTGACTAGAGGGTATGATTTTATTAAGTAACCATGTAAAAGTTGATCTTCCTAAGGCGGTTAAACTTGCAAGAAGTCGAAACTTAAAAGAGATTCCTAAAAAAATTATGTATACTTATTATTAAAAAAAAGCTTACTTTGAACAGATGTTATCAGATTTGTGTATAAGCTTGAAAGAAGCCGGTTTTTAAACACACACTCATAATGCATAGTGGCTGATGTTAGCAAATTAACTACACAATTATGTATAACAAAAACAAAAAAAAGGAAAAAATAAAATTTAGTGTGCTTAAAGCGCTATGAAATAAAAATTTTAACTTCAGCCAAACACTTGATTATTGCTAATAATTGCGCCGTAAAAAGGTGTATAAGATTTTAATGAAACAGTTGGCAAAGTTTTGTGGAGCACAGTGGAATGGTCAATTAATTGTTGCTGTAGTGCTGAGCGTTTATAAATATGATAAATTATCTGCTTACTGGAATACTTTTGATTTTGTTTTTTCCAAAACACCCGCCAGAAAACAATACTTGTTTGGCAAAGTAAAACTATGTAAAAGTTAAGATAAAAGCGATAAGAAAGTGGGCCTGCCGCGATAAACACTTGCAGTAGCAATTAATGGTTTGTAAAGTTTTACATGGTTGCCGAAACAATTATAGGCGATAAAAGCAGGGCATTTAAAGAGCCTTTATAAGATATGAAACATTTGCATGAATATATGTGTACGTGTGTATTTATACAGTCGAAATCGTTAAGAGTCAGCGAAAGTGAATTTTTTTTCCGAAATGGTATGAAAGAAAAGTAAAAGAGATTTTTTCTACATTTTACCCAAATAGTTTTTTTTTTACATACGCCGGCAAAAATCGAAATATGCAATATGTTAGTGTTTAGTTTAACTATAAAAATTACTAAAACGAATTAAACCGACAATTTCTCAATAAAATTAATTATATACCAGGCCAGGAAGCCACTTAAGTGAACAAATATATTAAGAATTTTAATCGGATCATGGATAGGTTCTGCACGCAAAAAAATCAATAATATATTTTTTGAAGTCAAATGTTGTTTAGACGTTTCTTTATAATTGTAAAATTAAAAAAAAAAAAATTAAATTGCTTTTTTTTTTTTAATCGTTCGAAAGGACATCAACGCTCCAGCTCTAAAAGTATTCGAATCGGAACCCGTAGGTCCCTCTCCATATATATACATATCGTCACTAGACACGAATAAAGGCGCGAGCTCATAAGTTGACGGCGAAAAAAGACGCATAAAAAAAATTCAGCGTCAAAAACTCTTAACATACTTCGCCGAAGTTTTTCATAAGCATCTTTTTTCGCAAAATTTTTTTACGCGCCTTTTTTCGCCATCAAAACACTAGCGGGCCTTTATTCGTGTGTAGTGACGATATACAGATATATTCTGTTTTGCTTTAAGAAGTGCTTAAATTTTGTATGAAAACATGCACGTATATTGTCGAGCATACTTTATTTGGGAGCAAATGCTCACCACCTTCAGCCAAAAAATTTATTAAAAATCAACGTGATTTTCTACAGTCTTGAATTTCGAGTTTCACTGTACTAAAATTTAATGTACTATAAAACTGAATGCCTAAATAAAACTTTTGCAAAATTTTTGAATAAAAAGTTTGAAATTTATTTGTGCTATTGTTAAATTTTGTTGAATTTTTAAAAATTTTGTAAGAAAATTTGAAATGTGGATTTATGTGTGCAATGTTTTACAGAAAAGTTATAAACATTAAATAAGCAAAAGAAAAATGTCCAAAACGGCTTAAAATGTCACTTAACTTAATCAGCTGACCGCAAAGGTATATTTGTTCCTTAACTTAATAATTTATCAGCCGGGGATGCAGGAAGGAGTTTGGTGACCCTATTATTTCGTTTTATGGACATATTTTAAGAACTTATGTACATAAATTTCTATAATTTAATTAAATTTGACTTCACAAGCAGATGACAATCCTCTTCAATAAACTTTCAGGCTGACACCCATATTGTCATAAATATCTATTTCAATTACTTAAATCCCCTAAATCGAGTCGAAATTAATTTTTTAAGCAGATGGCAACGCTCCTACGTGTGTTTAGATGTAAAGCGTTTTCAACACAATTTCTATTGATACTAATATACTAATAATTTAATTTAATTTATTAACTTGTTAAGTACAGTCTTTTCAGTGCACCAATAATCCAGATAAATTAAAAAATTAACTTCAACTTAAATCAAATTAATTAAATTTCAGATTCAAGTGAAATGGAAATGTACTAAATGCTGGATTGCGGAAGTTATAGGCGATAAAAAATTCGTTGACGGTGTGGCTCATTTTCTCCCATATAAAAAAAGTTTTTGAACTTTGTATGGAAGAAAATGCGAAACATCGTCAGCCAAGAAAATTCTCAAAAATAAACTCAAGTTCTTAATCGCTTGAAACTTCAACTAAAATTTTGATGCCCATTTTTTGAATTTGGTAAAATTTTCATAAATTTTGTAAAAGGTTTGAAATCCATGGTTTACTTTGTAGCGTAAACTATATTTTTGCACAAAAAAAAATAATTAAACATAAACAAACTTATAAAGAAGTATTTAGTGCCCTAATTATGCGGCCACAACTGTACATACTAAGTGTACAAATATACATATATACATAAATATTTTACACAATCGAGGTATGCACAAACTATTCACGCCCTGTGTGACTTTTCGACCGGCAATTTTTTAATACTATTCTACTACTAACTAAATAAGTAAATATTTCCACCAAATCCCGAACGTTTGTTTACTAGTCGCTCACTTTCATCAGCTTACGCTCGGTTCATTTGCACTCAAAAATTGCATACATGTATGCACATACAAATACACTTATGTTTATGATTATGGTATATGCTGCGAACTTGCCTGCAAATAATACATTTTCATGCTGTTATTTGTAGTTTATTTATTTCTAACTAGGCGTGTGTGTGTGTGATTTTATAAAAACCAGTGCGGTGTTTTTTGTTGCTGCAATCAATAGCTTTTTTTACGTCTTTGGCGTTTAACTGCATGATTTCATTTATTTATTGTTTTCGTTTTGTTGTGGCGAAAATTATGTTGCATTATGTTGGCGGCTAGGTTGTTTAGTAATATTTTACACGATTTCTTGCTCATTTTAATTTTTATATTCTTGTTTATACTCGTATTTGGCATTTTACAAGTTGGAATATTAATGTCTTCGAGGTTATTACTCATTGAGTTCACTTGCCACTGCTGAAAGTGGTGCGTTGTTTTTATGCCGAGTTCAAGCACAGGGTGCCGCATATACATACGTACAAATATGAATTCATAAGTGTTGAGCGCCATAAAAGGCAAGCGAGAGAGGGAGAGAGCGAAGGCTACGCATCTACTAACTATTATTAATCGTTTTTTTTTTTTATTAATTTCATGCTTTGTAATGCCCATAGAAATATTAAAATTCAGCGCAAATTTGGCGCCGCTGTATGAGTGACCAATCATTGTGACAGCTGTGCGTTAGAAACTTGCACGACTTATGCATATTTTAAATGACAAATGCAACATAACATATGTACATAATTTTATGCAAAAAAAAATGTAACAACAAACAACCAGCCGGTAGAAACAAGTCATGAAAATAACATACACCTAGCAGAAAAAGTCTGTGTATATTTTCTAAATATTCACCATATTTTGGCAATATAAAATTTGTCCCTTATTTTTTTATCAAACAAAATCATATAAACCCAAGTTTCAAGTTCAATGAAATTACATCAAAAATTTCAACTTTTTAATCAGAATTTTTGAAAAATTTCAAGTGCGCAGTTTTATAGCCCATTAAATTTTAGTGTATAAATTAAGTGGCTAAGAAATCGTGTTGATTTTAACTAATTTTTTTCTCGTAGTTCTAAGCATTTTCTTCCATATACAAAAAATTCGCTCATTTCTTGTATGGAAGAAAATGCGTACTAATTTTATAGCTAACTTGAAAAAAAAAATTGTTTAAAAAATTGAAAATTTTTATGAAAATTTATTTAATTTTCCCTAATTTTGTATAAAGCTTAAATCCTTGGTTTATATGATTTTGTTGACCCATAGTTTAATAAAAAAATAACAAACAAATTTTAGCTTGCAAAATATTATGAATATTTAAAAAAGAAATGGTGTACTCAGACTTTTTCTCCTTGGTGTAAGTAAACATTAGTGCAATTTTTTTCCAATGCGTATTCGATGAATTAATTCTCTTTAAGTCTTTTTCCTTAATTACATTCACTCACCTGAGAACGATATGATCGTATTCACATCAACCGGTTGCACTGGTTCACCATCGGTAGCAATTACCGTCATTGTGTGACCCTCAATTGTCACCTGCGCTGGACAAACGGATGCGAAGGCATTAATCATACGGAAACGATAGCGACGTCCTGGTGTGATTGTGAAAATTTCCAATGGCGTATTTGTCATGAAACCAGTATTGGGATCACGGAATTGACCCTTGCCGTTGATTAGCACCGATTCGGGATCTTGACCAGTATTCACGGCCAAGCGTCCGGGATAACGTTCTGCGGCATCCTCATGCAACCAATCGCTAATCAGCATAATGTGTGTAGTCAAATCGAAATCATACATATGTGAGTTGGGATCACGCGACGGCGGCTGACGTACAACTATGCTGCCGTAAATACCATCTAATTTCTGTAGACCGTGATGAGAATGCCAGAAGTGTGTGCCTGCATTGCCGGTCCACTGATATCTGCGTGGGCGCGATTTTTGGCATAGAATTAAAATTTTTAATATAAATTTTTTATTTAAGTGTAAATAGTTTTTGTATATTTTTTTTTGTTGCCACTCACCTGAAAGTGTTGCCCTGCTGTATGGGACACTGTGTTACGAATGGCACACCATCATAATATTGTGAGCCACGCTGCCAAATGCCGTGCCAATGAATTGTTGTCTCCATACCTTCCATGTGATTTTCTACATCGATAACGACTTTGTCATTTTCGCACACCTGTATACTGGGCCCGGGTATCATACGATTCACCGTGAGTATACCACGTTCGACACCATCAGCAAGAACACATTGACAATGACTCCAGACGGTGTTGGTGGCATTTGGCGTGCATACTTGGCAAGCGCTAGAGGCAAAAAAGAAATTAGAAAAAGTGAGAATGAATATTTGCAAGCAAATTTTATGGGCTAACAAAAGACTTAAGGCACGAACTTACAATGCAAACTTATTTAGTTTTGGCGCTAGTCTGTAAATCTCTAATTTGCTTACATTTAAAATTAGTTTTTGGCCTTAAAAGCTAAATTTATTTTCAGCAGCTTTACTGACCCACATAAACACAATAATACTATGTAGCTAGTTATAAGTAACTGGTGCTTTTGAATCCGTTTACATATTTCATTTTCATTTTTACTTCAATTAACTTTATAAATAATTCAAGTAAAATTTTGTTTGCATAATCAATAATGATTATTTTTAGTGAAATGAGCTAAGTAAATAAAACCTAACATTTCTTTAATGAAATAATATTTTTACTGGCACTTTTCCGTATTTTACGCGCAAATAATCGTAATTAAATTGTTGAAAAAATGCAATACCCGTAATTATGGCGTTTCATGCACTAGCGCACAACAAACTTGCTTAGCGATTTATACTGAAAATTTAATTGAAAGTGGCGCAATTTTATAATGCGCAAAGGGGAACAAAACCACCTAGCTCACTGAGCGAATTGGGAATAAATGAACTAAGTATAATGAGTCTAATGATAATAAAAAATAAGAGAGTATTTGATTTTTTTCATTTTTTATGGTCATTGAACGCCAGTAAGAAAAAAAAGGCGGACAAAAAGTTTCTGCTTAATTCATTAGATTAGTATACATTAAGATAAGAATATGGTCAGCTGAAGCCATGACCGGCGTGCGGAATTTAGGTGTGCTCTACCCAATCCATAAGAACAGCAATCCCACCATATGCGTCAACTTATTAGTATAATAATATCCGTTGTCTTCATTTTCGTGAAGAAGCTTAAGATATGGCTAGTGGGGTTGCTATTATGCTAAGTGAATATAACTTAAATTCTCCGTTTAAATTTCTAGTAGAAAAGTACTTAGCTTAGGTTAGCTTTATCTAGCCCGCATGAAGCCACACATAGACCGGTAGGTTTTTAGAGTTGCCATTTGAATCTCGTTTTTACGCGTTAAAGAAAACATCGCAAAGCATATCAAAGTTTTTATACGAATTTAAGTAGAAATTTCATCCCTAATTTTGAGATGTCCTTTAACTTCTCGAACTGATAGGCTTCCAAACATTTTCGTCATGTTTTTGAAAGTGCACTACATCGGCCGAGAAGATGCTCAAAGGTTACCCTGGTCTCCCGCTCACGACACTTCCTGCACCTGTCGGCGGCCAGCCTGTCAGATTTAGCAGCATGGTTTTCGGCGAATACATAGGTCAATGGTTGGTAAACTGAGGATAATTTCAAGAGCAGCCGTTGGAGTGGACCTCAGCGCTCCCGTGATGCACAGTCGCTGCGAGTCGCTGAACTCTCTCCATTGACCCGAGACATGATGACTATTTCGTGGCATTCCACCACACCAGACAAGGACTTAATTTTAAATGAATTTTCATAGCTTGTAATTCTTATATTTTTATTTAACTTATAGTGTGACACACAACACACTCGTTTATTGTCAAAAATCTTTACTCAAAAGTTCGAAATTAAATAGTAGCCTAAAACATTTACTGAATTTAAACTGAATGGACAAAAAAAAATATATATACTTGTACTACTAATACTACTACATATGATAAATCCTTTTCATTTCATTTTCAAATTCATTCCGCCATATTGATAGTGATGCATTAAGGCAATTAAAAACTAATATAATAAAGATCAATCATCGTATGACTGAGCTAATAAAATTAAATCATAAATTCTTTTAGCAATTATTACTGTAGTCATTTTACCACCAACTGTGCCATCATCATCAATTGTCGCTGTGTGTAAACAATCGTGGGAATTTGTTATGGTCTTTTACCGCAGAATACTTCAAAGTAAATGTGTGCACAAACACGCTTGCTGTAGATGCTAAAATATGCCCTGTAGAAAAAACTTGAACAAAGGTGAAAAGTTTGTACTTAACGACTAGCGAAAGTTGGAAAAATGCCTAGTAATCTTCTAGTCAGTTTTCGATTAAGATTTTAATTTATTAAAGTGTTTACTAGTTTTTAGTGCGAAAGAATAAAAACTTTACGAATTTCATAGGCGATTCGAGCTGAATTTTATAGACGGCATTTACAAGGAAAATTGGTGATGAAGGCTGCCATATCTACAAAGCTTAACTCAACGATGGCTTTCCTTCTATGCTATTTCCTGAAGTATATACTCGGAAGTATATATCGTACTTGATACTAGCAATAACTAGTTGAATTTAATCTCTACGGAGCACAGTGCCGCCAAAGTGGGGAAAAATCGAAAAATTCGTTGTCTGCAATGTGAACATGTTTGGTATTTTTGTAAAGGTAATTTATTCACTAAAAAGAGTTAAACAGAAATTTCCCCATAAAATAAAGAATATGCGCCCAAGAAGCCACTAAATTCGACAAATTTTATACTAAGAATATTAATAAGAGCATAGCCTCACGGAAACAAATGTTAAAAATATATTCTTTGAAATAAAATGTTGGTTTGACGTTTTTAGTTTCCATATAGATAGTAGAGAACTACAGGGATACAAATTTTAAATAATGTTAAACACAGGGTGTCCCAGCGGTATTCCAGAAAAAACAATTTTTTTTTTCAAAATTTCAAAAAATGGTAAATTTTAATGGAATGAATAAAAAATATATGTAAAAATATGTTATCTTTTATTTTTTTTTTAATAGTAAGGGTTTTTAGCTTTCGTAAGAAGAAATAAAAATTTCCTAATTTTTTGCAGTAATGCAGTTTTGAAGTAATGCGTTTTTTGTTAATGTATAAAATCATTTTTTGTCAGTGCCATCAGATCTACACGATTCGTTATACTTTGAAAAATGAAGTGTTAGACTAAATCTCTGGACTTGTGGACAATATAGGCAAATTTTTTAAAAGAGTTGCCACCTGTTAAAATATTAAATTCAAATTTTTTAATAAGTTAAATGAATTATTAAGAGATGGGTATCAATCGAAATGTGTATGAAAAGGGTTTATTTCAAAACAACATGTAGAGGGTTGCCACCTATTTAAAAAATTAAATTCCATTTGAACTAGAGGAATTAGGTAATTGAAATAAATAGGTATCACGAAAGGTTTTAGCTTGAAAATATTACGAAGAGGGTTGCCACTTGTTTGTGAACTCAAGTTTAGTTAAAATAAAATAATAATTGTGTCAAGCCAAAAAGTTTAAGACATCATTTTTGTCATTTTATTACAAATACATACATTCCTCAATCAGTGGTTAGTTCTGATTACATTCCTTTTAAATTACTGGACTCTTAAATTAACTCAGGAACGTTTCTACTCTTCACTTATTTCTTGCTTAATATGTTAAATTTTTTCTTTTATGTGATACACATATTGATACACATTTAAAAATTGTATTCTAAATCAAATTTGACAGTGGCCTTAAAAACAGTAAATATGCATTTTACTACTCATTGTCGATAACGATAAATTGTCAAATCGAGTACCTAGATAAACAAAAATAAAACAAATTTATAAGCCTGAGAGTATATACAATAGGGCGGCTCAATTTGTATGGCAGATTTTCTCGACCATGCGCGTATGATTCTATGTGTACTTCTAAGCAAATTTGCCCAAGAAACTATGGGTGTAAAATCAATTTGGAGTTTGCCAATTTGCGAAAATAGGTTTCTTAGCGTTTTGCTGTAGTGTCGTAAAGAAGTGGTTAAATTTTTTAAATGGATTTTACACTTATATTTTTCTTAAAACTTCGACCAGAGGGCTCAAGAGTGAAAATTTTCACATTTTCTGCGAAACCTATTTTCGCAATTTGGCAAACTCCAAATTGATTTTAGACCCATGATTCCTTCGGCATATTTGCTTAGAATTACACCTAGAATCTTTCTATGAAGTCAAAAAAAAAAAATCACCCGCCCTAATGTAAATACATATAATACGCCACTTATAGTGAATTTTGGTAGTAGGCGTGGTTATTGCCCGATTTGAAATATTTTCAAATCTTTTCTTAGTGAGATAAGGGTCAGTGAGTGTACTAAGTTTAAGAAAGGTCGATTGAGGTACTAATGAGATGCATATGTTCTTTAATAAGTGGGCACTGCCACGCCCTTTATACAAAATTAGTATCAGTATATAGTGACATATCGCAGTGTGTATTTACATTTAGTAAGCCACTCTTATTTTCTATATGAATCTTTCTTAGACCAAAAACCACGTAGTAACCAAGTTTCGTTGAGTTATGTCAATTTCTAACTAAGCTTGCTAGCTTCTGCACAATCTTGTTTTCCTACTGGGTACCGGGTATATTTACCTATTTGCGAACAAGCAGATACTCTCACTTTTTCACAATTTTGTACGCTCAGTTAGTTGTGGTTGATGTGAATTTCTATGCGGCGCCATCTAAATACGATTATCACGGTATGCAACAATGTATACGTGGCTTTATGTAAGTGTGTATTGTATGTATGTGAGTTTATTTGTAAGCAAATTTGTTTGTGTGTGAATATGTAAATTGCAGCATCAATTTATCTTAGTTATTAGCATCGCTTTTGCTCAGCTACTTTTGCTAGTTTTCTCTTGCTGAAGCTTCTGCTCCATTCCATAAACGTAGCCACAGTCTACTCGTAAGCTTGCGCAGTGACGTAGTGTCTGGCAACTAACTTCGATTCTGTCGCCAGCAGCGTCAACTAACAACTGTTGCTGATGTTGCTGCTGCATCATTGTTGGCATTGTGCGTCAACGACTTTTTAAGTTTGTTGTTTATGAGCTTACGAATCGCTTTGCTTGGCGCTTTAGCTTTGTAGACGTGCACACTATTCTGTATACAAACTTTTTAAGTAGTTATGCTTAGGAATGATATAAAAAAGAGCAAAAACATCTTTGAGTATAACTATGTAGAAAATCTGTCTGCCAATTCAACATTTGAATAGTTTTCGTTGCTGTCTAACTATGGTTTATATTGCCTTTGTCTGCGTCGTCGTCAGTTATGTCAATTGCAATTTCTTCGCTTTGTGTATTCGTGTAATTCCCGCGGTATGGTGAGTATTCATCAATATTGTGACAACGATTCGTATCAACTGCACCAGCAAACAAATATTTTACACGCGAAATTTGTTGTTGCCTCAGTAATTTATGTGAAAATCATCAAGAAAATGGTGCCGTTGATTTGATTGTTTGCATAGATTGTGCAACATTTTTAGCATCACGTCATTTATATTTAAGTAAGCAATTATGATTGCATATGCAAAAAAATAAAGGCACGAGAATTTGTATTTTTTGATGATATTTTTATTTGGAATTCCATCATTTGGAAATCAAAAAAAAAAAAGGAAATATCATAGCACTTATACACATATTTCGTTTTCAGTAATCAATAAAGCCATGTCTGTACGGCTGTATGCAAGAATGATACAAGATTGCGCCAATCGAGCTGAGAGCAACTGTGTGTGTGACCAGCATTGCCGTTTGGCAACAATTGTAGCCAAAGTGTTTTTTTTTTAAACGAGAACCTACAATTCTACATAAATCCTAAAATAGCTACCCAACCGGAAATACTCTAGACACAGCCCTTATTCCGTCCAGATGCTCGCTAGATTTCTGTAACTGAGATTTTCTCGACAGTGCCAAAACAGGCTCTAGCATGGTAATGCCTTCTACAGATAATCTATACCGGCGCTTCATAGATTTTCTTAATAATATTCTCAACTAATATAATCTGGATAAGCCTGGAAAAATTAATCAGAGGTAATCACTTCTAGGCAGGCTATGGCCAACCTCTTAGTGTATTCTGCTCTGAAAAACAGCCACTCATAAAAATAAAATAGCCGCTTAGAGTCGACGTAAAATTGCAGGTCCTACCTACCCCTTTGCGGGACAACATCAAGGTGCACACCACACATAGACAACAGATCCTACTCCTGGCTAGATATTCCTGACAGTGATTTCTTGTGACAACTAGGGCAAGTTCTGGTAATTGACAGACAGACAAATATAAACTATCAGGACGCTAGGTATGTGTGTCTTCCAAATTCCAAATATATACAAATCATCTCTAGAATTAAAAAAAATGCCCAGTAAAAATAAATTTTTATTTTAGGGGCTGTATGGGAATAATGATTAGTAATTCGAGAGTACTTTAGATAGAAGCTGTCCAAAATCACTGGAGAGTGGCTGCTTAGAGTAAGTGTTATCCATGTGTCTAGCGAACGGGGTAGAGGAGTCGATTTAAAAAAAAAAAAAAAAAAGTCCTGCCCTTATTGCCAACAATAATTGTGCAATAATGAGAGGAGAGGATGGAAAAGAATACGAAAAAGAAAAGAGTAGATAAAACGCAAATGGTTGGAAGTCCTGGCCTGCCTCTTACAGAGATGAAATCGATATCTAGAATAAAACATCCAGAGTTCGGTGGAGTTATGGAGGGTAACACTTTGGAATAGCGACATGGATGGCTTGTTTGACGAAGATGAACTCATACCAACATACACTTTTATCCATTCGATCAAGACGTGGTGAGAATAGTCAAAGAGCTGCTTAAAAACAGTAAACTCACCGGAAATAACGGAATACCGGCTGAGTAGTTCATAATCGGCGAAAACAAGCTATTAAGGTGCAAAGTACTAGCTTCTAAGCGAAATTTGACTTGACGAATACATGCACGAAGATTTTAAATTTTCCTAACCAACAAGAGGTGAACATCCGCTGTTACTGTGTGAAAGTATGAAGTGTTTCGCGAACCAAAGTTCCCCTTTTCTTGAAGGCTTTGGACAAGCAAATCTGCACGCATCACATTTTCGTCGATTTTAAAGACGTTACTTATAGTATGAAGAAAAGTCGATCCCACGAGACCACGCCATTTCTAAATATGATTACCCTGAAAAAATAATATGGCTATGTTAAGTGACGTTAGGCACAACTTTTGGTTCCGTCAAATGGGGAAGGACTTAGTTTTTTAGGCAAGGCGAATGTCCACGTGTGAGATCTTCAATCTGATTTTGGAAAACGTAACATGAGATGTGCATCTAAATCCAAACAGGGTCGCCAGTATAGCATTTTCCTGAGGAGGCAAAGAATGTAGTATAGCGATAAATGAAAAAAAAGGCAAAATATCTGCTGGAAACTTACTGGGATTCCTCGCGTATTAAAATACAAAAAAAAATCAAGCCAAGTAATTCTTAAACAATAAGTATTCAGAATAATTCTATGTTTACTTACGCGCCCAGTACGGTGTAGTATTCCATGGTGAAGTGATAGTAGCAAATACGTGGCGGTTCACCTTCACGGCAGGCGCGCGCACACTCATCTGGCGCCGATAATGTTGGATTACGCCTCAGTTCGGCGGTGGCACTGGTGGAGAAATCTAAATGACGGAATGGCGACTGTGGATTCGGATCGACTACGGTATTCGCAATTTGTGGGTAGCGTTGTGTATTGAATTTTGGCAAATTGCCACGAGAATTCAGGTAACCACTGCCAACGCTGAGCGTACTCGACACACCACCACTACCCAAACTATTGCCATTTAACGGTAACGAATTGCTGTTGCCCAGCGCGGGATGTGTTTGAACTACACCATGCGCGGCGGAGAAGAAAGGTGACTCCAGTGGCGATGAGCTGGTAATGCGTGGTGAATAAAGTGAAGCAGCGGGTGTTTGATCTGAAAGAAGAAGAAGAAGTTTAAAAGTTCGGTTATTGGTAGTTGAAAATTTAAATTGAAATTTCTTTTACTAATTCTCTTTATTTGTTTTGAAATCTATATATGCTAACACACTTAAGCGGACAAGGAAGCGATCATCAGTGGTTTAGAGCACTCTCTGCGCATCGCTGGTTTAGAGTCTTTTGCAGAATTTGACCCAAATTAATGCAGTACTCGTGAAGGAAGCTTTTTTTGCATAGCTTCTTGTATATTTTTTTAAATTCATTTGAAAACCTGGATAAGAAAATTTCTCGAATCCCACTTCAACTCCTGTTAAAGTTTGGTATCAAATTATAGAGGACTAAAATAGCTTTAAAACTGAAATAGCCAAGTTTGACTGCTAAAAAATAACTGTAATTTTCGGTCCCTGGAATAAACTATATACCTAATATAAATAAACTATATACCAAAAATAGCGTTTGAACGTCCCAATTTTTAAAAGAAAAATAAATGTGTTATAATTTTTTCTGAACGAAATTAATTTTTAATTTACAAAATTTTGTGTTTTCTTCATATTTAAGAAAATACTTGACAAAACCGAGAAAATTTTTTGGTACAATGAAAAATAAATTTCGAGCAAAAAAGTTACAATATACTGCTTTTTCTTTTGAAAATTGGAAGGGTCAAGCGTCATTTTTGGCATATAGTGTGTTTGCCATTTTTCCTGAGAATTAATCATAGAATTTGAATTTGCTATACACTTTCTTCGAAAATTTTTCTCCGAACAAATTACACCGCCTCTTCACCGGAGTTATAAAATCTTTAACACTTTAGGGCTTTCACCAAAAGACTTTAGAAAAATATTAAGATTTATGTAAGCTAAACTGATTTGCGAATACCTGTAAAATTCTCATCTACATATTAATACGCTAACATAAATTTTGTCACCGTTCATTTACCGAATTTAACGAACTGATTTCTGAACACCATTGGAAAGATAGATGAGGAAAGCTTTTATGCACCCTAATGCGCCTTCATATGCATGTAGAATGTTTATTCTTTTATTAAAAAAATTTAAACTTTTAATCAAAAGAAAACGAAATCAGATGTACATATAGCCGTAAAAAGATTTTCTTAAGTTTTTAAAATTTAAATTTTGAACCATTTAAGAAACAAAATATTACTAATTAAAATAGTCTCTTATGTAGAATACGACTGATTGGGCAGTGCAGGGTGAGGCCCCGCAGAGTGTGATCATTTTTGGGTTGGGTTGAGTTCGTTTGTTTAACAAATTCAATTCAACAACTGACTAAGTTTAATGAGTTGAACTGTTATTATAACTGACGCCACTGAGGCGGTGGGTCTTTTGATATTTTTCTGCATTTGGCTTGAAAGCTTGAAGGCTTAAACAAATATTATGTAAATCGATTTTATTTCCGCAACTACTCCATTATTTTATAGACAGTTAATTGTCAATCATTGACAAGCTCTAACCATAATAAAACCACAGAGAAAGGCTGTTAGCTGCCAAAATTTTATGTTTGCATTTTGTATAAAAATGTGGAACTATCACTTTTATGTAAAAGTTGCAGTTATGGAAATTGTGTGTAAATTTATAAATGAATTTGATTTTGCTTTCACGCAGAATCAACATGACAAAGCTTAGAAAGCACTGACGTGAGTGTCAAAGCAAAAAAAAAGAAAACAACTACATCTAAAAATTATACAAACAAACCGTAAGGCAAGTAAACAAAAGGCACTAAAAAATTGAATCCGCTTTTTTTTGTTTTAGCTACACGCAGCCTACACACGGTCAATAGCTTGTGCTAACACCGCTTGACGAGCTACCTACATACATACAAACATGTTGGCCAACATTAAATCCTTGACATTGACTGATGAAAATAGCTAACAGCAAACACTTACGCTTAGCTAGAGTGACGGGTGCATTTTTGCATTTTCTAGCTTTTCTTTTGCCTGAAACTGCACGCGCATTAAAAAATACTCACTCGCAGTTGCACATCAACTAAAAATCGCAAGCAATAACACTAAAATTATGTTGTCTGTATACATACATATAACGGCAGCAAACAACCACACACAAATTTTGCAAAAAACACTTTCCAATTTGTACATCAAGCCGCATAAGCATTTGCTGTCAGTGAGCTGCTCTAAGCCGTGGCAAGTTTGCATCTTAAGTCTTTCGAGTTTAATGTCAGTCAACTAACATTTTACATGCTGCACCATAAAAAACAAACCAGTCCTCCTGCACGCCACTGCCAAATCAAATAATCGATGAACCTGACTACTACCGACTGACCTTTATTTTATGCCAAAGGCTGTGTGTTGTTCTCGCTTTTAGTTGTTTGTTGATGTTGCAAACAGACAGAAGAATGCAGCTTTTTCGTGTAGTTGTTTTCGTTGTTGTTGTTGTTGGTGGTTTTCAAAAAAGAACAACAACCTCAAGATGGGTGCGCCTTTAAAGTGCAACTAAAGAAAAATGCCGACTACAGAACAATTGCTAAGCGATTGCGGTTGCATTTAGCAAAGCTTGAAAAGCAAATAATGCAGCTAATTTAATGGCGAACTAGTACTTATGTATATTAGACTGCATCACCAAAAAAAGTTGCGGTTTTTCCGCCAGCATTACAAAATCTATTATATTTTAAGACGCCAACCAAAATATTTCGCAAAAATATTAAGATTTAAGTAGGCTGGACCGATTGGAAACTATTTTTATTCATAAAAAACTCCATTTTTGGAGGTATTTTCAAATCGGTCCAGCTCACTTAAATCTTAATATTTTTCCGAAATATTTTGGTGGACGGCTAAAAATATAATAGATTTTATAATTCCAATGGAAAAATAGTACTGATTTTTTTTTTATATGGGGACTGATGCAGTCTAATGTATATACATATATACACCCATACATACACACATACATAGCTATGTATATAAGCATAATCCTTATGCTATTATTATTGTTATTTATAATTTTTATGGCAGAACTTTTTAAGCTTCACAGCGCTTAACTGCCATAGTTAAATAGCTGATGTTTAGCTGCTTCAGCGCAACGATGGTAACTGCTGCGAATGCTAAATAAAGGCTTGTTAAAGGTTCGCATGGGTGCGCAACAAAAAAAACGAAAGAAAACCAAAAGTTGCAAAAAACTTACAAGAAGCGAAACGAAATCATGGTAAGCAATTATAAGCATATGAAGCGCAAAAATTTAGGTATATTAGGTACGATCAAAAAAGTATACATACATACATATGTCTAACAACAGAAAATGTTTTCAACAAATTCATACATATGTATGTTTACACACATGAATGAGGTGAGGAAAAAACCAAAAGTAATAATAAAAAATAATAAATTATTAAAGCGCACATTTCAATGCAATTAATAAAGCAGATAGCCACAACGAGCATTAAATATATAAGTGGCAAATAAAAAAGTACATTGAATGCATTAAAAAAAAACCAAATCCATAACTTTTACAAAGCACTACTTACATACTATTCTTAGATATGTGTGTATACAAACCCACCTATAAGTAGATTGTAAAAATAACTATTAGTTTTATGATTCAATTGACATTTGTGCTTTGTCATTTTTATCCATTAAATTTCTGGTGGATAAGTGCTGAAAGCCTACAAGGATTGATAGAATGTTCACAAAAGATAAGTGCAGGCGCAAACGATATTTAAAAATAAAAAAATGCATTCTTCAAAGGTAATTAAAATTACGAAAAATTATACATAAGGTTTTGTAGAACGCAAATAAAAGGGCTTGGCCTATTGCTGTGCCATGGGGTTTTATTTTTCCCAATGGAGTTGCCACCTGTTAAAAAAAAATTTTATCAGACCATTTAGTAGTTAAATGAATTACTAAAGGATGTTCATCAACCAAAATGGGGTTGAAAAGGCTTTATTTCTGTACAATATTTAGGAGGGTTGCCACCTCTTTGTAAAGTTAAACTTAAATTATTTAATGAGCTTAATGAATTAAAAAACAAGTAAGAAAGTCTAAGTTCGGGCGGAGCCGAACATTAAATACCCGGCGCAAGTATTAAATATATGTTTTTTCACCCTTCCGAAACCTTCCGCTAGATGGTAAGCCGAGGTGTATCAATTTTGAGTAAATTAGCGTCCTTCAATTTCGAAATACTGAAGTTTCAAGCATTTCTTAAATTTACCGTTATATGAGAATCGGCCGTTATTTTAGTCCGATTTCAATAATTTTCAACGTTTTGCTTACACGTGGCAAGTACAATAACCATACCGAGTTTGGTACAAATTGGTAGAACGGTTACCGGTATACTTATATGTGATCATAAGTGGGCGGTGCCACTCCCATTTTCCAAAATTTTACCATAAACGCATTTCTTGGTAAAGAATTGTTGCAACCATCAATTTTGAATAAATTAGCTTCAATCGAAGATTTTGTATTTCTCTAAATTACCGTTATATGGGATGTGGGCGTGGTTATTGTCCGATTTTAAAAAGTTTCGGCGGTTTTTTATGCTGTACCAAGGCCAACAACTGTGCCAAGTTTGGAAGAAATTGGTGCAGCGGTTACCAAGATATACACATGTAACCATAAGTGGGCGTGGCTACGCCCATTTTCCAGAAATTTATAATATTCTTATTTTTCGTCTAAAACTTATTACAAATATCAATTTTGAGTGAATAATCTCCAGTAGTTACTAAAATATCGCAGTTTTCGTATTTCTGAAAATTACCGTTATATGGGAAGTAGGCGTGGTTATTGAGCGATTTTAAAAATTTTCAGCCATTTGGTATGTTATGCGAAGGCCAACAACTGTGCCAAGTTTGGAAGAAATTGGTGCAGCGGTTACCAAGATATACACATGTAACCATAAGTGGGCGTGGCTACGCCCATTTTCCAAAAATTTATAATATTCTTATTTTTCGTCTAAAAATTATTGTAAATATCAATTTTGAGTGAATTATCTTCAATAGTTACTAAAATATCGCAGTTTTCGTATTTCTGGA